CCTGATCGAGTCCATTCCACACGATCATCCGTATCTCGCGAACGGGGTATTCGAGCAGGCAGCCACCACCAGGAAGCAATGCGTCAGGCTCATCAGCAGGTTGAGGGGTCAACTAGCTAAGAAAGCTCAGCCACCCAGTACACCACCGAGTCCTCAACACCACGATCAGCTGAAGAGACTGGACATCAAGCCTTTTGATGGCAATCCTTCACAGTGGAAGGAGTTCAGTGACCTCTTCACTTTACTGGTGGGCAGCAAATCTACAATTCCCCCAGTGGAGAAATTGGTGAGGCTGAAGAGTAGCCTCAGAGGACCAGCAGCAGCTCTGATCTCTACGATACCCATCAGCGATCAGAATGATGAGAACGCATGGAGAAAGCTCCAAAAGAAGTACGATGATCCCAGACTTTTGGCACAGTACTTAATTAATCGAGTCCTGGAGTTGCCAAAAATCACCAAACCCACGGAACAGAATCTCACCGACAATGTGGCAGCAGTGGTCGAGTCGCTGGACCAGCTCAGAACAGTGGCCGCCTTTCAGAAGCGAACCTAACAGAACAGCTGTTTGCTCACCTCCTGAGGAAGTCCTTGGACGCAGAGACCCTCAGACAATGGGAATTGAAATTGGGAGACGCCAAGGATTTCCCCAGTCTCAAAGAGTTCGTCGTAGTCGTGGAGTCCTGTGCCAGGGGTATCAACGCAGGGTCAAAACTCCACTCCAGACAGCAGATCACCGCTCCCAGCAAACCACCTATCAAGAAGAAAGGAGCTTACGCAGCAATTCAACAAGAGGAGGACAGCGCTCAGCAGAACAGTCACCAAAGGAAAGAGTGTTCCATGTGCAAAGGGAACCACTTTGTTGACAAGTGTCAGCAATTCAAGGAGCTGGACCCAGTAAAGAGAAACGGCCTGGCCATCGACAAGAAACTATGCTTCAGGTGCCTGGGCACGCACAAAAAAGACAGGTGCAGCTCAGACGAACAATGCCACAAGTGCAAAGGATCTCACCACACTCTGATCCACGGAGGCAGCAGGTACATAGGATGGGCTCCTCCACGTCGTGACTCGGAAGCTGCAGGGTTCTCTGGAACTGCCAACAGACCTGCAGAAGAAAGGATCGACGAGGATCAGAGTAAGTGAATGTTCCTTTAATATAATCAGTACATTCACTTTCTCATTGGTCATTCTCAACAGCTAAGCCCAGTACATCAACAGCAGCAGTTAATCTCAACAATCAGATGACCAATGGGAACCAGCAGTCAAATCAACCTTCAGAAAATCAACAATCGGTGCTGTTGGCGACAGCCCGAGTTACAGTGAAATCACCACGAGGATTCTCCAGCAGAGCCAGAGTCCTCATCGATCAGGGATCAGAGGTGTCATTCATCTCAGAAAAACTAGTAAATCAACTGCACTTGTCCAGGAAATCAACAACGTTGGAATTAATCGGAATTGGAGGAGTTAATTCCGGCAGCACGAGAAGATTGGTATCAGTTACACTTCAGACAATCAACGGAAACCAACAGGTTCAGATCAGCGCACACATATTGGAGAAACTCACCGCAATTCTACCATCGTTCTCATGTGCCTCAGCGAACATCGGTTCATTAGAAAATCTCCAGCTAGCAGATCAGCAGTATCTCAAGCCCGGACCAATCGATATCATCATAGGGGCTGACAACTACGGGCGAATCATCAGAGATGAAGTTGTCAAGTCCAAGCAGTCAAAAGTCGTCGGCCAACGCACAGTCTTTGGTTGGATTCTATCAGGTCCAATCAACTGCACCGGTTGTTCAGCGAGGATCTCCCTATCAGCTGTAAGGACCTCCTCAAACGAACAACTTCTAGAACTTCTCCAGAAATTTTGGGTCCAGGAAGAGTTACCAGTTCAGCAGTCAGAAAATTCAGAGTTATCACCAGACGAGCTGGAGTGTGAGAAACACTTCAGGTCTACACACAGCAGAGATTCAACGGGACGGTACATAGTGAGGCTCCCGTTGAAAACCTCCACAGCAGCTCTCGGGGAGTCGAAATTCAAGGCTTCGCGTCAGCTCAGATCTACAGTCAGCAAACTCACCAATAATCAGGCATATGCTCAGCTGTACAAGGAGTTCATCAACGAGTACGAAACTTTGGGTCATATGCAAAGAGCACCAGAGACAGCAGAACCCGTTCCAGTTTATTATCTTACACACCACGGGGTTCTGAGAGCAGATGCAATCACCACAAGGTTGATAGTCGTCTTCAACGGCTCCAGCCCCACTTCATCAGGAACGTCACTCAACGACATTCTACATCCAGGTGGAAAACTTCAGACCAACGCCATGGACGTTCTAACATGGATGAGAAAGCACAGGCTCGTGTTTGGCACTGACATAGTCAAGATGTTCAGGCAAATACGAGTTCATCAGGACGATTGGGACCTGCAGAGAATTTTGTGGGTTGACGACAACAAACAGCAAATCTTCTACCAGCTCACCACCGTTACCTACGGGCTCAATTGCTCCCCATGGCTGTCTCTGAAAGTTCTCCAGCAGTTAGCAGAGAACGAGGGTCCACGATTTCCAGCACCCGTCGAGACAATCACCAGAGGTCGTTACATAGACGATATCTACGGCGGAGCAGACTCACCAGCAGAACTCAAGGAGATATTATGGCAGTTACAAGGACTTTGCCAGGCAGGAGGCTTCCCTCTCCAGAAATGGAGCAGTAATTGCCCTCAGCTCTTGCATGAGCTCGGCCTATCAACAGAGGAAGAAGTCATTCAGTTTGAAGAGTCCGTCACCAAGGTACTGGGTCTGTGTTGGCATCAGTCGTCCGACATATTCCAGTACAAATCCAGAGACTTCAAAACAGAGACGATCACCAAGAGAATTGTCTCTTCAGAGATAGCCCAGATCTTCGATCCTTTGGGATTTATCGCTCCAGTCGTCGTCCAGGGGAAAATTCTCCTTCAGGATCTCTGGAAACTCAAATGCAGTTGGGATAACCTCCTCCCCCAAGAGTACATTCACCGGTAGGAGTCATTTCGCCAGGAACTCACCGAGCTAGATAAAGTTGCAGTACTCAGATGGCTCAGACTCTCACCTCAGACAAACGACATCCAATTACACGGATTCGCAGATGCCTCAACAGTAGCTATGAGTGCTGTGGTCTACATTCGCACTCAGAATCTCAACGAGTCAGCCTCCACAGTTTTGGTCTGCGCTAAGACCAAGGTAGCACCGATCAAGCGCATGACTATTCCACGTCTGGAACTTACTGCAGCTCTCCTGTTAACTCAACTCGTAACATCAACGCAGCAGATGCTCCAGCTACACCAGGTAGAAACTCACCTTTGGTCAGACTCAGCAGTAGCTCTCGCGTGGATTAGGAGTCCGGCCTCGAGATGGAAAGACTTCGTCCACAACAGAGTGGTAAAAATCCAAGAAACTCTCCCGAATACCACTTGAAGACACGTCAGTGGGAAAGAGAATCCAACCGACTGCGCCTCCAGGGGCATAACGCCAAGTCAGCTAGCAGATCATCACCTCTGGTGGACAGGACCTGATTGGATAAATCAGGACCCTGAAGACTGGCCACGATCAACTATCGATGCTCCACCAATGGACTTCCCAGAAGTGGCCAAAGAAGCGAAACCAGCAAAATCTCACCCAGTCGTACAGAGAATCAACGAGATTGCCGAGCTCCTCAACAGATACAGCACGATGGCAAAGCTGTTAGCAGTAACAGCGACCATCAACAGGGCCATCGACAGATTCAGGAGGCAGCCAATGCCCCCGGGATCTATCTTGACGACCAGAGAACTCAACGATGCGAGATTATTTTGGGTAAAAATAACAACACCAGTACTTTGTTTCAGAACTCAGGGTACTTCTCAGAAATCAGCAGCTACCTAGAAATCACCAGTTAGCGAAATTCACCCCAACTCTGGACGAGGAGGGCATCATGAGACTTAAGGGACGCCTCAAGAACTCAGAACTCCATCCAGAACAGATCCACCCAATAATCTTGCCACGTCAGTCCAGATTCACCACACTCGTCATCGCAGAAGCTCACCAGAAGACCCTCCACGGAGGGACACAGCTCACTTTGGCCTACACTCGGCAACGCTATTGGATACTCGGTGGCAGGGGCACAGTTAGAGCCTACATCCTACGCTGTGCTATCTGCGCCAGACACCGAGCTAGACAGGCTCAGCAACAGATGGGTCAATTGCCCGCAACCAGAGTCTCACCAGCAAGAGCATTTCTCCACACGGGGGTGGACTATGCAGGTCCTTTCGCCATCCTCAAGTGGAGATCCACGAATGCTCAACCGGGATCAGTGCACATCGCAGTGTTCGTGTGCTTCACCACGTCAGCAGTTCACCTAGAGCTCGTCAACAGGCAAACCACAGAAGCCTTCCTCGGAGCTTACAAGAGATTCACCGGAAGACGAGGTATTCCAGCAGTCATGTACAGTGACAACGCCACCACCTTCGTCGGAGCAGCAGATCAACTCGAAAGGCTCTATCACCAAGCATCTAAAGAAAATCAACGTGTTCAGGCTGCTCTCGCCACCAATGGGACTCAGTGGAGCTTCTCACCACCTAGAGCACCCCATTTTGGTGGCAAATGGGAAGCAGCAGTAAAATCAACGAAGCATCACCTCAAGAGAGTCCTGGGAACGACAACGCTAACATTTGAGGAACTCAACACAGTCTTAGTTCAGATTGAAGCCTGCCTAAACTCCAGGCCAATCTGTCCGATGTCAGACGACCCAGAAGATCTCCAGGTTCTCACCCCAGGACACTTCTTAATCGGCGAGCCTCTACAGATAGTACCAGAGTCATCCTACGTCGACGAGAATCCCCTCAAGATGAGGAGATGGAACCTCGTGACTCGGATAGTTCAACAGTTCTGGTCCAGGTGGTCCAAAGAGTGTCTCCAACGATACCAGGCTATCTACAAGTGGAAGACACGCCAGCAGAACATCGAGGTTGGTAACATGGTGCTGATGGTCGACGATAACCTTCCACCAGCCCAGTGGCCAATCGCCAGAGTCATCGCGACTAGACCAGGAGCAGATGGGCTCACCAGAGTAGCCACAGTCAGAACGAGCAAAGCAGAAGTCGGCAGACATCAAGATGGGTCGCCTAATCTCCAGAACATCACAGCAGCCCACTCGGTGTTTGACAGACCAATCACCAAGCTCTGTCTGCTTCCTACAGACCCACCTACACCAGAACAACCTCCAGAAGAAGATCACCCAGATGATGAAGACGATCAACAGCAAGGGGACATCCAGGAACTGCAGGACTGAGAGTTAAGTATCATCTTCCATATGTTTTTTACTTTGGCAAGTGATACGTCTCTCTTCCTGTTTTTCTCCCCTTAGAAAACATCAGCAGAACCAGAATCAGCAGAACCAGACCAGCAGAAACCAGATCCAGTAATTCAACAACCTGATGTTGAATGCCCCCGGGGTGTTTGAAACGCAGTTAAAATTCAGTACATCAACGGTTGACCACAGATCGGCCACTTACGAAAATCTTCGGGAAACCTCGGGTCAACGGTCAGGCCTAGTCAATCACCGAATCTCAGTCAGTCGTAGAGAGTCGTAGCAAATGAGTTGAGCGAATAGTATATCGTTTTTCTAAAGCTACTTTCGGTTATCCGAACAGCGTCAGTACATCACCCGTTCGAGACATTTTGTTTTCTCAGTACATCTCCTATTTAAATTCTCAGTACAGTCTCCTATTATTCAGTATATTATTCAGAAAATCTCCAGTGTTAAATTCAGAACAGTTTGAATTAATTTCAGTGACAATTAACAGAGTGTAACAAGTGACGCTAAGGTGGTTCGATTCCACCGAATAAATTAGTATATTTTTTATAGACTCAGTGCGTTCGTTTTTCACCAGCATTTCCACTACCCCTTTCCCAATCCACCCTGAATTCAGTTTTCCCTCCAAACCAAACATTTTTGTGGGAAATTTTCGCAACTACAAAAAATGTCTAAAGTAATTTCCCCCCAAACCCACGAGATCCCGAGATAATCTCAATTTCCCAACATCAATACCGAAATGTTTTCCACCTTCACTCGCCCCACGCCACGAATTCACTCTGCAAACTGCAAGGGGGGGGGGGAGATCATAGAGAGGTAAATAAAACATTTGTGGGGGCAACTCGACAGAGCTTTAGAGTTTCAACTTTTCGAGTCCAACACTTGTTTCTGTTTGACCCAACATTTTTCCCTTTTAATTCACCTCCAGCCCCCCTGGACTCTATAAATCGATTCGTTTACATTACACGGGTAAAAATAAAGTGTAACGATCGTAGATGGGCAGAAGTAATGACACACTGTCCTAAATATTGCGAATTAAATTCGATGACTTTGAATCCGAAGGGAAGTGATAAAAACTCTGAAGAAAAACGATTCTAAAAATTATCTCTCCCTTAATTCTCAAATATCTCAGTAAATAATGGCTACATAGAAAAATGTCACAATTTCAAGAGCTACAAAAATGGTCGTGACATTTTTCGATAAACCCAATAGTTTCCGAGATATTCGCAAAAATCGCTGCACTTTTTTTTTTTCTCGATATAATTTTAATTGTATCATTGGTTATTTCTTAGTTATATCGATAATGACTCGATTTATCAAAAAATATCATTCGACGTTTTTTGTAGCTCTTGAAATTCTCTACAAAAATATCCTTTCAGTCTACTAAAAAATTCTTCCATCTTACCATCAAGTGGGGGTAGAGCTGCTGCTTCAGGTACAATATTTTGCTTCCGTCGTTGGACTCTCAGTACACCAGATGCAATCAATCTTTTAATTTTGTAACAATAATGCTCAAACAGTATTCCTGAGGTAGGAATTTTCTTGCGAACTTCTCGTTTGTACGGAGTATAGTACATAAGACAGGATTCCCCGGAGAATAGGGCTGCGATTTGGATTGACCATCTGGTAAAACACTCAGGTGTTATCCTAGAGAAGTTTTTCACATTAGTACCATAAAGTCTTCGGTTTAGAAAACACTGAGACATGAGTAGGATGAGAATATTACCTAAATTCTGTCAAATAATCAATTTCATGATCGCGACGTGCATCTGCGAGTTTTCTGTCTGTTGCCTCTTTGATTATTGTTCGACCTAAAATAAACTTCGAAGATTTTTTGTTAAGCTTCCATTGTTTTCATAGGCAGTTTTCACAGTCAGCCCATCCGTGGATCTGATGATTATAGCCAGAATGGGCTGTGAGTGGAAAAAATTATCATTAAATTCTCAAGATCATTAATTACTGTGAAAAACATATTTACTTACATTGTTTGCAATTTATAGACGCTCAAAAATATCCGGGATCGACCTGAGGAATGAAAATGAGAAATGAGTAAATAATGTATGATTTTTATGTCAACATTGAAGTAGTAAAGGGTAAAAAGTCGATTCCTCAAATTTTGTTTCATGTTAAATTATCTTGATAATGAGTGATTTCAAGAAAAAAAGTTCAAAAACATTTTTTGTTGGGAATTTATTCAGCTACAAAAAAAGTCTTCTGACATTTTTGCCTGAAATCCCTTATTACCAATATAAGTAAGCGCTATTGTTTGCATGATCTCAATCAATCTTCGTTGAGCCGAGTATTCTCATCTGGTTGAATGTGAAATTATTTCGATGATGAGTCTCTTTAGAGAAAATTATGAAAAAAAAATTCTTGTTGGAAATTTCCCCTGCATTAAAAAAACTCTTTTGATATTTTCACCGACAATCACTCATTCTCGATATAAATGGACAATTAAAAAAAATGACCAATTTGACTTGTGACGATTGACCACTTCCCTGAAGATGTGAGAGATGGAAAAAAACGTACAAAAATAATAATGTGAGTTCATACAAACAGAAGCAAAATCTCATATCAGATACCATTATGATTGTTAGATGTCAATGAGACAGAGTACATCATCTAAAGCCAAAGCACATTCACGTAGATGACTCAGAATTTTAGCTGTATGCTAAATATTCTAATTTGTAATGACAAACACCTTTACCATCTAACGAAAAATTCTGAAAGGAAAATCCAGAGAAACGATCAAGGGAGAGTTAAAAAATCATCCAAAAAAATAGAGGTTAATGAAGAGCTATGCATGTGGGATTTTGGTGCAATAAGTTAAGATTTTAGTATAAGATTTTTATCATAACATCAATTGAGCGTATGAATGAATACCTCTAGTGATCGATGAAAATTGTTTGCACTATTGTTAATGATTTCGAATTGCTACTAGGTTCACAACGTACCCGAAATCTACAAAAATACTGTCTAAGGATAGATGGAAAAATTTAATGACATCGCAGTACATATAGACAATGCACAAAATCGACCAGAGTGATAACCACATGTATTGAGCTGTTCTTAAACTAATTGAGAAATGTCTACTTACCTCAATACTCAAGTTTATTACGTCCCTTAGACGGCGTCAATGCGTTTATTACTTTTTGTCTTTTAGTCCAGTCAAACTAGCTCTGAAAATGTCGTTTACATCGAAATTAACCAAAGGGCACCAAATTACACCAATCGATAGCTAAAAGTGTAATTATTAATGTTTTAAAAAGTATATGCTCAAATTTGCCGGGGTGATTCACAATTTGTTATAAACAATTGGGAATTGCCGACAGGCCGTCTTCAATCCTAGATATCTTTAGTTAACCTCATGAGATGGGAAAAAAAAATATTTCTTTGTAGCTGAGAAAATGTCCTATCGGGGGGAGTTAGGAACTTATAGCCCAAAATGTACCGTTAATTTATTATAAATTATAATAGCAATTTCGGAGCAGTCGGCGCAACGCGTCAGCTGTTACCCTCCCTGCGACAGTGCCATGAGTCACGTGATTGGCGCTATGCGCAACTTATTCAA